TAATCCCTCATAATAAATAATAATCCATAATAATAATAATCCATAATAATAAGTAATCCCTCATAATAAATAATAATCCATAATAATAATAATCTCTAATAATAAATAATCCCTAATAATAAGTAATCCCTAATAATAATCCATAATAATAAATAATAACCTCTAATAATAAATAATCCCTAATAATAAATAATCCATAATAATAATAACCCCTAATAATAAATAATAATCCCTAATAATAAATTATAACCCCTAATAATAAATAATAACCGCTAATAATAAATAATCTCTAATAATAAATAATAACTCCTAATAATAAATAATAACCCCTAATAATAATCCATAATAATAAATAATCCATAATAATAATAATCCCTAATAATAAATAATAACCCCTAATAACAAATAATAGCCGCTAATAATAAATAATCCCTAATAATAATTAATCACCCCAATAATAAATAATAACCCCTAATAATAAATAATAACCGCTAATAATAAATAATCCATAATAATAACTAATCCCTAATAATAATAACAACAACCCCTAATAATAAATAATAACCCCTAATAATAAATAATCCCTAATAATAAATAATAACTCCTAATAATAAATAATAACCCCTAATAATAAATAATAACCCCTAATAATAATCATCCCTAATAATAAATAATAACCCCTAATAATAAATAATCCCTAAAAATAAATAATAACCCCTAATAATAAATAATAATCCATAATAATAAACAATCCATAATAATAAATAATAATCCCTAATAATAAATAATCCATACTAATAAATAATAATCCACAATAACAAATAACCCATAATAATAATCCATAATAACAAATAATCCCTAATAATAAATAATAATCCCTAATCCTAAATCCCAACCCGGGTTATTTTATGGATTTACGGGGAAGTCGAGTCCAAGCAGAGCCTTAAATGTTGAAATTCCAGCTGGGGAAAAGCCGGGATGGCCCCCGGGGCCAGGTCTGTCCTTCCCTGAGAATTCCCTGAG